CAACAACAACAACAAGAAAAAGGTAAATGTTTCCTTCACCTTTTATTTTCTTTACAGATCATTGAACTACAACTACAACAGCAATATTTTGTAGTTCTACATAGCTTTGAGTTTTCGTAGTTGTTATTGTTGTTGTTGTTGTTGTTTTTTTTTTTTTCTTTTTCGTAGTTTCTTTTGTACATATATAAAGAGGGAGTGAACTCTTCGCAATATCCTAGCAAAGTGTTGCAGGTTATTTTCATAAACTGTTATTACGTTCCGTACTGTTGGGTCATTGAATGTTTAAGTATAGATGCATACATAATAATATAAGTATGTAAAGCAAGCCTTTTTTCTTCTTTATATATATTTAAGAATTTTCTCAACATTTTGACACAGATTTTTGATAGGAAACAACAAGCGATGAAATAATTTAATTAAGTCAGGAATATAAGGAAGCCAAAGAGAAAAAATGGAGGTTACGTATCGCACACTATTTGTATATTTCGATTTACGTCAACGAGCTTGTAAGGTTAAAAAAAATTTTCATAAATACTAAAAGTGACTCAATTTTTGGTGAACTCAAATCAAACTTTATGCTGCCAGTCTCTTCCCTTTCGTTTCGTTTTTTTATTGGGGGAACGCAAACTATGTCATAATATCTTTTTATGTTTTCCTTCTCCGAAGCTTTAAGAGATTTGTGGGAAATTTCATTCATCCGGGCCTATACATTTTTAAACTTTTCAAAATTGCTATAATTAAAAGGCGGAAAAACTTTTGAAATTTTCATTTACGGTTTATCTGCTACCTGTTAAATGGCTTATGCAGATCAAAACTGTACGCACACGGGAAGTTGGTAGAGTCATTAATTTAAAATCTGCTCAGTGTCATCTAACGTCTAACTAAATAATATGTCTCATGTTTCATGTTATTTACGGTCCCGTAATTTAAAGATGAATTTCATTAGTCGAGAAGAAATGTTGAAAGGAAGCCACAAATTCACCGTACTCCAAGAAATCTCCTGATTCGTAAATAATGCACTTTATTCAAAAAATTGCAATAAGTGTATTGATTACACCGTTTCCCAATAGATGATTTTCGCCGCATGAAGCGGTGGAAATACACAGATGCTTGGGTGCTTGTCAACATAACCCCATCGAAACATAAGTCGACTTGTGTTCGCATGGTAACCTCGTTCCTGATTGAAAATGTCAGTTTACGAACTAAACTCCTCGTCATTTGGGGTAAATTTAAATTGTTATGAAAAAATCTGCGTCTAAGACTCATTGAATGCTCTCAAATGCTATGGACGAGACCGGTTTTATTAAAGGAACGTGCGCAGTATTATTGCTTCAAGAATGATGATTTCGATATCGAAGGTGTAATTGGTGGGACTAACTGAACGCAGTTCTATTATGAGCTGTTAAAACCCTTCTGAAACAATCGCAGGCGATCTGCATTGAAAGTTATTAATACGTTCGGTTGGCAACGCTAAATGGGAAGCCCTATCCCATCTGTCATATTCTCACGACATTGGTCGCTCCGACGAGAAGTCAAAAATTGGCTCAATACCTGGATCGACTCAGAAGATGAGCAGTTTTTCACCGCCGGATTCGTATACTGCCCGAAAGATATGGGAAAGTAGTGGCCCGCGATAGACAATAGTTCGAATAGGAAATGTAGAATTTTTCACAACAAATTCTCGAATGCCGAAGAAAGAAAACGACGGAAGCAAAATCATATACCTAATAGAAAATCTGCTTGTCTACGCTAGTTACATTTAGCGGGTAAAAGAAATAAAAGAAAAAAATTCTTCATCTTTCGTTTTAGACAAGCAAGAAGCAACTGCATATTTTTTTCCCGGCTCTTGGGGAAATGTTCAAATTAAGCCAAATCGAAAAAATGAAACCCGTAAACACAACAACAAACAACATTATCAAAATTTTAACGAATTGACGATTCTTTTTAATGATGATATAGAGAAGGTAGTAAAACTTTCAAACCAATTATTTGTTTGTTCACTGTGCGACTTTGCATCTTCATTCACAACACGATCGCTAAAAAAAACGGGATTCAGGAAATTTTATGAAAAAAAAACTGTAAAGAATTTCAGTATGTGTTTATTGCATGTATATATGTATACATATATATGTATGTATATAGGCATGTTTATGTATGTATATATATATATATATATATATATATATATATATGTATATTTATATATAGGCATATATATGTATACATTTTGCTTTTTTTTATATACTTTATGTTGAATTTTATATAATCTATTTAATATATTTAATATTTTTTGCTTATAAACATTTATATGTGACTTTTATACCCATCACCGAAAGGTGATAGGCATAATTCATTTTGTCAAAATGTTTGCAACGCCCGGACAAAGTACATATAAATTGACAATTCTGAATCGCTTCAAGCATGTCCGTCTGTCCGCCAGGGCGTCTATCCGTCTGTGTAATGTCTATTGTAAGCATTCTCCTCGTTGCAAAAATGAAGCCGTCAAGTACAACGTTGACAGAAGCATTGAAAGTTCTTACCATCGCGTTGAAAATAGGAGAAGCTTACAGTGCTTCGTAAAGTGAGAACGCCTCTGTTTTTCAAAGACAGTAAGAAATTGGCGTTTTGATCATTACTCAATTTGAATGCATATTTTAAGGGCGATGCCGTAGTGCATATTAAATCATCTGGAAATTTCTTCACATTTTTTTCGACGGGAAGATGTTGATGCCTATATATATACATATATAACTCTCACCTGATTGTCTCAAACGGTCATATGCTTAAAAAATAACATTTCAGCTTACATTTTTTGTGAAGATAGTTTTCTAATTCTTTGCTTGTGTAAAAAGTTATATTGATTGGGAAAGGAATAAAATATCTGAAGATATAGACTATATGCTTTTTTACTATAAAAAAACAAAAAAACGATGCAATAAAAAAATTTTTTTTTAAGTTTACTTTGAATAAATTCTTAGCCATTTTCAAAGTCGAAAGGAACCTAAACATGTTGGTCTGTTCGTCTGTACATTTGTCCCTCTACCCAGCTGTGTAGTATCTGTGGTAAACATTCTCCGCTTAGGGAAAATGAATATATCGCCTACAAATTTGCAAAAACGTTTGAAAGCGACGTAAAGTTTCCAATGAAATAATCAGCCGCGCTTAACTCGCCTTATAAAAAGACTTAGCTATTTTACCTTTTTTCTCTTTTTTAGGATGTGATGGCCTGAAATTTATTCTGGGGAACCATCCATATAATTTGAAAAAAGAGAACGATCCTTGGTCAATGCAAAATGTATAAAATATTTTTAACCGAAAGTGGTTCAGATCGGACGACTTGTTCGATCACTTCCCATATAAAGCCTCATTGTGAAAAGCCGCTATATGAGTAGCTGTAGTGCGGTGTAGGGTATTTGATAGTGATTTTACTTATTTTATTTTATTTGTGCTAGCTACGCATATAGAATTGTCCAATTGCCATATTTTTATACTTAACATTTCCGAATTTTTCTTTCATACTTCTAGGCGCATTTACTAGTTCGAAACTTATTACATATATTATTAAGGTTCATTTAAGAGACAAGTAAATAATTCTGCTGTTCTCTCTGCAAGCTTTTCAGCGGCTCTTTGCACTCTTACATTTTGCTTTCAAATCCTGGGCTTAAAGATGTATCCTAAGGCGGGCATAGTTTTTGTCTTAATCCTTTTATTTTTATTTTTTTATTTTCTTTGCACCGTTCTGGGCTTCAAATATTTCACCATAAAAACTGACCTTTACTAAGAATTTTATGATTGTTATTCATTATTATTAATATATTTTTTATTTCACCTTCTGTGTATTCTGCGGTTGTTATATTTATTTTCTTCAAACACATACCTGAAGCAGTTTTGTTTTTCAATTGTGTTTTTGTTATCTGTTTTTTTTTTTTTTTTTAAATTTTTATGCTCGTTTTTTTCTTCGCACATAATTTGTGTTTTTAAAGCTTACTTCCGTACAAGTTTTTTTTTTTCTCTCTCTCGAAAACTTCATTTTTAATGAATCTACAATAAACAACAACAAAAAATAAAAAACAAAATAAAAGCACTTCGAAGTCTATAGTTTAGCTGCTTAGCTATATGCATTTTTATATAGAAACATGTGAAAAAAAAAACAATAAAATAAATAATAATAAAAAAAAAAAAAATTTGCATTTAATATTGTTTTCCTGTTGACCTCTAAACAAATAAAAATATTATAGACTAAATCATACATTTAGCAAAATAATAACATTAGAAACATTCCAATGCATCAGACTCTGGAAAATATAACATAGTGACAATAGAGAGAGGATCGCATACCTTAAGAATGTCCGTTACGCATGCCTAACTGAATATCGCACAGAATTTTCTTTTGAGAATTTTGACATATTGAAGATGATTTTGGGCAAATGCACTCATGCACAAAATTTTTCTAAAATAGATCACCTTAATCAAAAATTTCGCAAAAAAAAAAAAAAAAGGGAAAACATTTAATGCCCTCCAATGAATAATTGTGTCAAATCTTCCTTTGAATTTTTTGGAAACGTATTAAACTTCTATACTTGCCAGCAATAAGTTGACCCTAAATGAGTCTGATTAAAAGACGGCGTCATCAGATAAATGTTCTTTTCCATGCTGTACTTTATTATGTAACTAAAATAATAGCATTTCGAAGAAAAAGAAAGCGAAAAGAAGATAAGCAGATTTAGCGCCGATAATGCATACTTTAAGAAATGTTTTAATCAAGTATTAATTTTTTACAACGCTTGCGACAGGTCTGAAAAATTCATATGAATAACTCATAAAAGTGGAAATAATACAAGACATAAAGCATGCTCTTTTCCGACAATTTCAATTTTATATTCGAGTATGAGAGAAAGTTATGTCTATCTATGTGTGTATATGCGTGTAAATTTTTATAAATAGTATCAGTTGTTATCTTAGTTTTTCTCACATTTTACTTATCTATTGATAATTTTCAGGAATTATGACACTGAGCCGTGGCCCGTACAGCGAGCTCGATAAAATGAGCCTCTTTCAAGATCTAAAACTGAAACGACGTAAAATTGACTCAAGATGCAGCAGTGATGGTGAATCTGTAGCCGAAACCTCCACTTCGTCACCCGATCTCTTAGCACCGATGTCACCGAAAATGTGTGATAGCGGTGGAGGTGGTAGTGCCGGTAGCGGTGGAGGACCCGGTATTAGTAGCGGCGGAACTGTTGTAGCTGCTTCCCTGCCCATGACTACTTTGGCGGCTACCTCTTCAGTTACCACCACAACTTCAACTGCTTGCTCGGGCGCCATATTACAAGAGAAAACGCAACAACAGGTATCTGCTGAAGTGGTGGTGGCGACTGCTAAGGCGGTAGCGTTAGCGGTAGCAGCTAAAAGTGAACAAGCCCAACAACAGAAACAACAAGAACAGACTGATTTTCATACATCGTGTGGTGCAGTGACGGCGACGGCAGCAGCAGCCTCCACAATGATGTCTCCTCCACCACCGGTACGAACTTCACCGGCCGTCAGTTCTGATCTCGACACCATGAGCACCATGGATCGAAGAACACCGAACAGCGCTAGGGCCACTCCTACGCCACCTCATAACAACGGCAACGCCAGTAGCAGTAGTACTAGTAACGGGGGCGGCAGTAGCAGCAGTAGAGCCTCACCTGACTTTATAGATGAGAAAATTGCCACAGCATCCGCTTCTTCAGTAATGCCCTCAAATGGTTTACCTACAAATGTTGGTAATACTTCTGCAGTTTCAGCATCAAGTAGTGGTGGTAGCATGAGTGTGATACGTTCGGTTAAGGAAGAACGAATTTTGGCATCTCCCACGCGTATGCTGTCTTACCAACAGCAACAACAAAATGCTACTGCTGTAGCTGCAACTATGAAAGGGCCTACACAATCGCAACAGCATGTCACAGTGTTGGTGACGCCTTCCCGTATTAAGTCTGAACCTGCCCAAGCGCCCCATTCGCCATATTCCTCTGCCACAAGTGGATCTGCCTCTGCTGCAACCAGAAACTCTCCATCTCCTCTACCTGGTGTGTCCAGTAACCCTTCTACAACTCACATGCACCAACCACCAGCTCCGCAACCTCATCACACACCTGCAGCAGCTCCAGCACCGCCCATTGTCACAACTCACCATTTGCATCAGCAGCTTACTCAACCTCAAATGCGTAAAAGTAGTCCACCTACGGACTTACAGCTGCCACCACAACATCACCATCTTCTCAGTCAATCCATGCAACAACTAACGCAGCAACAACAATTACAGTTGTTGCAGCAAGCGGCCGCTATGTCACGACAGAATATGCCAGGTGCTCGAGAGTTGTCACCCAGCGCTTCCATGTCACCAAGTTCAAGGCATTCATCGTCCCAATCGCCGCAACAGCAGCATTTAATGCCGCAACAAATGACGGGCGGTCACAACGTACGTATTAAAAAAGAGCCCACATCACTGCAAAATCATTCGGGAAATTTTGGCCCTACTGTTAGTGCCGGTCAACGGCACCACTCTCCGCATCACTTTATGCAACAACAGCCAGCAACTTCTCCTCAACAAAGCTCTTCAGCACCAGCACCACCACCACAATTACCTGCCCAGGCTTTAGGCAATATGGCCCAAGCTCTAATGCATCCCGCTTCCTTGCAATCTTTGAGGCACCCGAACCGAGATGCAGCAATTTTATTTCGTGTAAAAAACGAGGTGCAACAGCAGGTTGCTGCAGCAGCAGCCGCGGCAGCAGGCTTACCACAACTGATGCAACCGGGGGCAGCCGCTGTTGCAGCTGCTGCAGCTCAACGCATGGTGTGGGTATCTAATGCTCGTATAAATGGGGTGAAACCTGAAGTTATTGGTGGTCCGTTGAGTAGCATACGTCCAGGAGGACCAGGACAATCTCCGTCGCCACATCATTCCTCTTCCTCAACTTCATCCTCTCAACTATCACCGCAAACACCCTCGCAAACACCGCCCCGCGGTACACCCACTGTTATTATGGGAGAGAGTTGTGGTGTACGAACCATGGTGTGGGGATATGAGCCTGCGCCACCTTGCTCCGGATCAGCAGCAAGTCCATCACCGAATCCCCATCATCTCCAAACAAATCAGCAATCTAATCAACACCAAACCCATGGGCAAAGTGGGCCCGGAAATGTTAGTAGCGGTGTTATGGGTACTGGAAGTGCGGGATCCAATCCTTCACACCATACAACGCAGTCATCTCTAAATCCGGGTTCGTCACCCTCAGCAGGATCTCTTACGCCTACACACACTCCCGGGCCTTCTCCGCAAAATAATGAAGAAGCGGCACAGTTATTGCTTTCGCTAGGTCAAACACGAATACAAGACGTCCGCAATCGACCACCGCATACGTTTCGTACACCGCATGCTCTGAATATGGAACGTCTCTGGGCTGGAGATTATTCACAACTGCCACCAGGACAGTTGCATGCCTTGAATTTGAGTGCTGCCCAACAGCCTTGGGGATCGTCAGCAGGTGGATCAAATACCACAGGTTTGTCGCGAGGTCTTGACGTTTCTCACGATCCTACAGATGAAGATGATCAACCGTTAGTATGCATGATATGCGAGGATAAAGCTACCGGTTTACATTACGGCATCATAACATGTGAAGGGTAAGTAGGACGATGTGAAGAATAAATTGTTCATTTTGTGTATCTTCTTTCTATGGCAACACAGTTGTAAAGGATTCTTCAAGAGGACCGTGCAAAATCGACGCGTCTACACATGTGTAGCAGATGGGACGTGTGAAATAACCAAAGCTCAACGTAACCGTTGTCAGTATTGTCGTTTCAAAAAATGTATTGAACAAGGGATGGTACTGCAAGGTAAGTTAGTATTACTGTAAAAAGAACCAATGGCTGATTATGTGGTTAATGTTTTTAGCGGTGCGTGAAGATCGAATGCCTGGAGGTCGAAATAGCGGCGCCGTCTATAATCTTTATAAGGTCAAGTATAAAAAGCATAAGAAGAACAAACAACAACAGCAACAGCAGCAGCAACAACAACAACAGCAAATGCATAACCCTCATCATCAGCATCAACAAACGTGTCACAGCCACACAGGACAACTTTCACCCCATCACCACCAAACACATATTTTTACACCGCAACAACAACAACAATTGCAACAGCAACAATTTGCGGCTGCTGTTGCTGCTGCCGCCCATCAACAGCAAAGTAAACTGTTGGGTGAAATGAAACCCATGTTTCTCAGTAAAGAGCAGCAACAAAGCATGCATTCGCCTCACCACCATCAGCAAACAAGTTCTACACTGGGACCACCACCAGCAAGTGCACCAGCACATCACGCTTTTGCAGCAGCTGCGGCCGTTGGAAGTGGTGGCTTACACAGTCCACTCTCAGCCTCCTCGTCTCCACATACTAACCAACCCCTTCACCATGCAGCGCCACCCCAACCGCCTCCACAACAACACGTGCCTCGTCCACAAGGTTCGCCAGGAGCAACGCAAAGGCCGAGCACGCCTTTAGAGACTGCCATTAAGTTACCCTCGCACCTAGTTAACGGTACCATACTGAAGACTGCCCTGACTAATCCTAGCGAAATTGTGCACCTGAGACATCGTCTAGATTCGGCGGTAAGCTCTTCGAAGGATCGAATTATCACATATGATCACGCGATCGCCATGATACAAACTTTAATAGACTGTGACGCCATGGAGGATATAGCCACATTGCCACATTTTTCGGAGTTTCTTGAAGACAAATCTGAAATCAGTGAGAAACTGTGCAATATTGGCGACTCCATCGTCCATAAATTGGTTTCGTGGACCAAGAAGTTGCCTTTCTATTTAGAAATACCCGTAGAAATACATACAAAACTTTTGACAGACAAATGGCATGAGATACTGATACTGACGACCGCAGCCTACCAAGCTTTACACGGTAAACGTCATAGTGGAACAGCGGCAACGAATACAACGACAGCGACTTCTAGTGGTGGCACTTCAGCGGCCGGCAGTTGTAATACATCGTCCAATTCCTCGACGACCTCCTCATCCTCTAGTTCTTCCTCACCTACGCAACATAATAATCACACATCATCAACGTCGCCACTACACCCACACCAGCAGCAGCAACATCATTCACATCATGTTCAGCAGCACCATGCGCAAGGCCAACCACATCACCAGTTACAACAACAACAACTATTACAGCAACAGCATCAACTTCACCACTCCCAGCATCACCACTTGACGGTGCACAAAGATGATCCAGAATTTGTAAGTGAAGTGAATGCGCACCTCACCACTTTACAGACCTGTCTTACCACCTTGATGGGTCAACCAATAGCAATGGAACAACTGAAATTAGACGTCGGACACATGGTGGATAAAATGACGCAAATCACCATCATGTTTCGCCGGATTAAATTGAAAATGGAAGAATATGTATGCCTAAAAGTCTATATTTTACTTAATAAAGGTAAGTTGTGCATAATACAGATTTGATAGACTTATCAATTTTTTCAAATTTTAGCAGAAGCGGAACTCGAAAACATCCAAGAACGTTACATACAAGTGTTGCGCACTTATTTGCAACATACTTTAGCTACAACCCAAAATCCACAAGCCCGCCTTAATGAATTACTTTCCCATATACCAGAGGTAAATATGAAATGAATTTCTTGAACTGTATATTTATAGCACATTTGTAACATTTTTTATAGATTCAGGCTGCTGCTAGTCTTTTGTTGGAAAGTAAAATGTTTTACGTTCCCTTCGTTTTGAATTCGGCCAGTATAAGGTAGCAAATGCTTCAACGTGGTCTTTTAACGCTATCAGTTGAACATACAACGCCGCCTTATCATGTGCAACATCAACAACAACCGCTTGAAGAAAGAATGGAAAGTGGGGAAGAGCAGCAATTCCAGCCGCCGATATGTTTGCCCATGTTAGAGATGCCTGAGATTAAAATTGAACGCGCTGACTTAGAGCTGGACTCTATGGAAGCGGTAGACGAACAGCAGGTAGAAGAGGAAATTATATTGCCACAACATCAAGAAGATGAACTTAGGGAAGAAGAAGATCCAGCCGAAATCAAAGAACCCATTATAAAACCCTTGCCTCAATTGTTAGAACCTACATCTATACTAAAGACCTCCCTATTGACGGGAGCAGCCGCCACCTTGGCTACCCTGACAGCCGCGGCCGAACAAATAGCTAAAATGCCTATGACATCTCCAACTACTGCAAAAACTGCCGTAAACAACACTGCCTTTGCTAAGTCTACGATAACAACAACAAGTGCTGCAACCAACACTGCCAAAAATTTAGAAAATAAAAGAGTATTATTTACTACAAGTTCAACAATGTTAATGGGTTCAAAAAGCACTTCTTCCTCCACTTTGTCTTCATCCCCTTTGACTAACGCAACAGCCACTACCACTTACAGTTCTATTTTACAAACAGCCTTAATGTCTAAACGTCCTTTAAGCAGTTTAAATGTAGCTACAACAGCAATGTCAGCACCATCATCACCACCACCTCCTATAACGTTGCAACAACAGCATAACACAACTCCGGCTCATGTTTTAAAGACTGCAGTTACTTTGGCAACTCTAAGTGAAATAGCGGCCGAACAAGATAAACAACAGCAACAGCAACAGCAACAATGTCATATCTGGTTGGCTCCACAACGCCAAATGGCAACATTGCCTTTTAAAAAATTAAATTTTGCCAATTTAACACAAACCCAAAACTTAACACAAACAGCTACCACAAAAACAAATGCATCTTCGAATGCAACAGAAACGACTACCGTTATAAAAAATTTAGAGCACTTAGCCTCTTCCTCTTCATCTTTAAACGCCTATAAATCGTACACAAACGACAGCAGTAGCAGCACCAGCACCAGCAATCGTTTAGTGGGCAATTATTCAAAGCCTTCACAAACCATAGCACAGACACAAACCTCAAGCACGCAGATAAAAATACCCACTATACGACCCAATACGGTTACTATACAAACACAGACTGAAGATAATCATCACAATCAACTGGTGGTAAAGGAAACGCAAACTTTAGCAACAACGCCGCTATCACCATCATCACAAGAAAAATCAACATCAACATTAGTAGCAACATGTTTAAATCAACTTTCATCAACATCAAACATACAAACGCAGCAAAATTGCCAAACGGCGACTGCGTTAAGGACTGAAGTGGCAACATCTAAAAAATTGATAATGCCACAACATTCATTAATCACATCAGCATCAGCATCAACATCCGCATCAACATCATCAACGTCAACGCTGAACATTATAAGAATGCCGACGGCAACAAACGTTGTTGGTAAATCTACAAAAGTCATAGTTAAAGAAACGGCATCCCTAAGCACAAGCCACAGCAACATCGTTGCTCAAGATAATCATCATATCCCAATACATACAAATACTGCCATCTCTACTGCAGCAACAGCGTCTTCTTCGAACACTCCAACTTCGACAGCGTCTTCGAACGCTGTTACGGTAGTTGTGTTTGAAACGTTGTTACCTGAGGACTGAATTCGTTAAAAAAGTAAAGAAAAACAAGAAAACAAAAAAAAAAAAAAAAAAACTAAAAAAAAGTCCCATCCTTTCCCCTTTTATAGCTTGAATGTTTTTCGTCACTTCATTTACTATTACTATTATAAAAAAGATCATTTAAAAAAGAAAAATTGTGGTTTTTATCTTTTAATTTTTTTTTTTACTGAGTATAAGTGTCTGTCATTTGTAAGCGTGTGTTTTTGTGTATTTCTGTGTAATATTTTCTTGTAATTAATTATTTAATTAATTTAAGTCATGAAAAAATTCACTACTACTACAACAACAACAACAACCTAAAACAAATCTAAGGACTTTTTTTTTGTAAATTTAGTTTCAACTAAACCCAAAATCATTTAAGTGTTTTTTCTTAGATATAGAAAAAAAAATTATATATATAAAAAAAAAAAAAACAAAACAAATATTAAGCAAAGCTGTTGTTGTTTTATTATTATTACTTTTTTTAAAGAAAGTTTTGTGTGTTTTATTAAATTTTTTTATTTTAAATATTTTTCTGTGTTTAATTGTTTCTCTTATTTCCTTTTTTTTTTTTTTAATTATTGTAAGCTACACAAAAAATCCCCCAAAATAAATGGAAATTAAATCCTATATATTTAAATATATATAAAAGTAAGAACAAGAGGAAAAGTTTATTTTAATCTAAAAAGAATTGTTTTTGCAAAAAAAAGGAAAAAAAAAGAATGAAAAGAAGAAAAAATGTATTTTATAAAATAAAAAAATCCCAAAATTTTTTTGTGTTCATATTTGCAACAGTTTTTTGTTGGTGTAAATAATGTTTTATTTTATATTTAAAATATGCTTTTTTTTACAAATATTGAATTTAAGATTACTTTCATTGCCAAATTACGTCAAATGTCTATCGCAGCTTCTTTTCCGCTCGCACATATTTCCAGCAGGTGCAATGTAGTGCGTTAAATGAAACGTGATATTTGAAACCTATACCGGCATTTAATGAAAATATTCATCGATATCGGTGGCCTATATAAAGATCCGTTGTTTTCTCATCGTGAAAAAGAAAGGAAACGTCTAATTGTAATGCTTATTTCCCAAGAGTCTATAGACCATGGCAGAGTCACTAAAGCACATTTATCGCGTACGAACGAAGCGAAAGAGCTCGTGAAAATTTATCGCTAAAATTTCGATACTCAAATTTTTCTTCATTAGCAAGTCAGACAAATCTATAATCCGGCAACTAGTCCTGAAATGATTGCTTTTTGTAAAATTTAGTTGGCTTCCGCTTTATGATGAGGATTTATGAATAGATTCTATAGCTTTCTTGTGAGGAAAACATTATCATTAGACTGAGTGCAAGCAGACTATCTTTGAATGGAAAGGGAACGATTTTTTCACACTCCCTAGAGTTTGTAAATTTTTCAATAATATTTTATTATTTAAGATAATAAATATATCATTTTTACTAAAGCCACAAACGTTTAAATGTATCTTTACAAACATAATATCTTTATAATATCTTGCTATGTATTTTAATTTATTTGAATTTGCTGTGAGATATCTAGATCGAATGAGCCAGCCAAATCGGCTTATCTGTTTAATACTTTCGCCCAAAAGTATACTCTGATTAATTAAATAATGGCTGCTCTCGTACATCGACCACGAAATGCTTAAGTAATGAAAACGAACTCGCTTCTACTAAATTGCACAAAATTGAATTTTCTTAACTTTAGAATACAATTGAAAAGAGAAAAAACATTAATTTACAATAATTACGGTCAAGTAAAAAAAAGCGATATTCAATCTGAAGCAAACTATAATAACGAAATTTAATATTCTTAAGGGCTTCAATAAATGCTCGTAAAGAAATTCAGATCAACATAATACGATCTATTGTTGATATGAAAAAAGTACTTTTCGAAAAAACGGTTAAACCCGTTTTTTATGAACTTTGAAACCTATTTCTACATGTTGTAAATAGATTAAAAAAATAAATGCAATTTTATGTATGCTTTGCATACTCAGCATTTCAACAAAGGAGTTTTTTTACAATACAACGCATCTATTCAAACTGATTTTGTATACTGATCTAATATATACAATAATATAAAATATATTATATATATATATATATATATATATATATATATTTTTTTTTTTTTTTTCTTTCCACAAGAAAGTGAAGGTACCTATAACGAAGTTTTTTCATTTCCAATACAATGTAAACCAATGATAACGTTTAATTTATTCGTCCGTAGCAGACAGTAAAGTAAGGCTCGTTCAATGAAGTATTTCATTTCGATCGACAATATCTGTCCACATTTTATGTGATGTCAGGCTAGTTCACTTCTAGATGTCAACAATAGAATGATAACAATCACTATACCGCTCATTCTCTAATATGAGGCTAATAAAAAATAAAACAAAAATAAAAATATTCTACTAAGTGACTGAAAAATGGGAGCTTCGAATATATTAATTATGTTAGTTAATATTAGACGATTAGCCAGGGTAATCTGCATATGTCAGCCCATTGAGTGCGTGCAATATATAATAACGTACTAACTTCTTCTAAATGTGGAAATAGAATATATTTTAAAGTTCTACCGCAATCGTTGCCTATTTTTAGGCATTCCGATCATTTTATATAGTTTTTAAACGATAACGGTCTCCTTAACGGCAAATGTGAATATTTTTCAAACAAAAATGTCTTCACAAATCCTGATTCCTACGCCATATTTAAATAAAAAAGCAAAAATAAAATAAAAACATATATGCAACGGATAACGACACTAGAGAAAGTATAGATTGATGTTATGGTCCTAGATATTTAAAAAGATTTTTAGAGTTAAGAACAATTAATTTACATGTAAATCCAATATTTAAAAGATTTTATTTTGTTTTCTCAAATTTTAAAGAAATTAAATCATGTTCTGATGTGTGTTTCAAATATCTTGAACATACAATTATATTTAAGCGGATCAATAATTCAAATTTAAAAATAATTTATGTAAATTATGCAATAACAATTATACACATAAGAAAAGAAGACTTACAAATCCTTACATCTCAAAGAATGGTTCAAGAAAAACTAAAAATGAAAAAAAAAATTCACTTAAAATATTATTCACGATTTCTTAGCAACATTTGCCAAAAAAAAAAAAAACTTGCAAATACATTTTTACAGATTATAAAAAACTATAAGACGGGACGGAAATTTCGATTGCAGTGGCAACATTTCGAGTCTAAAATGAATGAAATATATTTTTTTAGTGAGACAATATTGCAAAAACATATTATTTTCAAGACGGAGGAGACAACACATTTTGTTTGCAGTATCAACTTTCAGTGTAAAAGGAGTAAAGGCCATGCTCATTATAGTACCATTATGTAGACCACATCGCCGTTATTCATACAACGATTTTTCAAAATAAGGTATTTTGAGACAAATGGTCGAACAATTAATCCGATTCGAGCCTTTTTCAATAGCGTGCGCTCGTCCTTGCATCAAGACCAAATGTGATCAAAATATCTTCAAAATTGCAGCCTGGGGATGAACATAAGTGAAACAAGCAGAAGAAACAAATAGGCAGACTTAACTCGATCCCGAAAATGATTCTAGATCGCTCGGTACGATTAAGAGTGCGTGTATCTAAAATCCTTCGGGGTGTCGCATACAACCGAACAAACTTTTATATAATGATAATGAGATAATAATGGGATAATGAGGAGTTTAACTATCACACTTTCCTAAAATTCGATGCCATTACCTAGTGATCTGATATAAACACAAATGTATATGTGACAATTTTAAATAGGCATTTGAACTTGTTAAGTCATTCCTGTCAAACGGCAATATTACGATTTCATTTACCTTCAGCTAGAGCATGTTGAGAATTTTGGTAGCGTTTTAAAGTCAAATTAACCCATTCGTTACCAGGGTCTCCGTTTTTTTATATCTTAACAATTTTGTTCGATACACAACATGTTCAAATATATGTTCGTATTAGGTCAGCGAGAAAGTTCTATCCCATATTTATTAACACATTTGAATACAAAATTGTTAAATGTGTTTATTCCTCAGCAATCGAATGGTAGATGCAGTGTTCTTTTTCAAATGTAAAACGATTAGATACCGCTTCTTATCCATCATGGTCTGCAAAATGTCAGTATCGTCCAGATCAATGATCTTGTTTGTGGAACGAAATTCGACAAACCATCTTCAGCAGATCCGAACATTTGTAATTTCAACCCCCCAATGTGTCACATAAGCTTGTACAACAAACCAATGCGTTGCTACCTTTTCGGAATTCATATCAAATTCCGTGACTTAAACGAGCTTTGCCCACTGTCATCTTATACACTCCGGGCTTCTCGACTAACTGATATAGGATATTAAGAGTGTAGCTCTCTTATATTCCAAGGAAGATACGCTGAATAATAAGACTGCGCCTTCTACCTTTGTTTGCCTTAACCTGACAAGCAATATTATCCGCAGCTATTAGAATGCGACAGAACTTTCCCGTGAACCTGTAAAATTGTTTAAAAGTGTTTGTCACATATATTTGACGTCGAGCTATGGTAAGATAAGCTCAAAGATAAAGAGAAAAAATTAGAGAAAAGGTTTTAAGAATTCACTTTTCATATTTACTCACAGAGCTATCTACGTTTTTCATAAAGAAAAAAATCAATAAAAGTTGAAAAGGAGAAAAACGTAGGCCATTATTATTAATATTATCAGTATAGTCAGAGAGAAAAATTCGAAGGCTAAAGTCTTAAAGTACTAGCACCCAAGACTATCGGAGAACCCTACCACACCTAAAATTTGAGCACCCAACCATTCAGTTGGATAGATTAGAAATTTTACATAAAAACGAAAAGTCATCTTTATATTGTCAAACTTAACTTGGTCTCCAAATTTTCTTGAAGATATATTGCTGGCAATATCCATCCATTCATCCACCCATCCATCCATCTATCCATCTATCCATCCATCCATCCATCCATCATAGTTCATATTATTATTATAAGCTTGCGCTTTTGAATAATCCGCAACTCCAT